ACTATAACTATATTCTATGACAAAAAGCAAAGGAAACAAAAGATGGTTGAGGTAAATTTCCAATGTGTACTTTGGAAACTATAACAGGGCATAAAAAATAAAAAGATTTTGAGAAATCTAAATCAAAGTATTTCTGTGGCATAATTGGCCTTTAAAAAATGTTTTTGTAGATGAAAATATGATGGAAAGAGTAAGCATTATCTGTTTGAGTTTTTTTAAGACACCAGAATGTCTCCTGATATGTCACTGTAGACTTGTTTCCGTCAAAATGATGTCATGGGGGCCACCCAATGCAAATTTATCAGTCAGTCAATTTTATCTAAAGTTCACAAAATAGCATTTTGATAATAGACTATTAAAATTATGATGGTACTCCTTTAGAATTAATTTTTTATTTGCTCTACATTTAATGTCATGAAACAAATGCATATTGTGCAAGTTTTTGAAGACTTAATTCAGTCTTGTTAAACCTTAAAGACTATTAAAACTTCTTTCGCATATGCGTAATAAAAATAACAAGGCAAACATTGCGACAAATCAACATTTGTACAGCAGAATAAGTAAAGATAAACTTAAAGAGAGAAAAGGGAATCCCAAAAGAACGCCCAAAACGCAGCAAAATCAATAAAAATACTTTTAATCACTTAAAAGGCATGAAAAAAAGAGAAAATTTATTTGTTTTACATATAAGATTAAAATATATTTCATTCGTGAACACCAGCTATTCTATTTTCACTCGTGGCTACGCCACTCGTGAAAACGCCACTCGTGAAAATATTGCATCTGGTGTTCACTCAGTGAAATATATTTCAATCTTACATTCAAAACAAACAAATATCCTCTATTTAATAAAAAACGATATTACACTACAGTGTAGTGTAAAACTTTGACGTGACGTTATTTGCTTTATATATAAACATAGCGTTAAAACGCGCTAATGTTAACGTTACACTATCTGCGCGGCATTGAAGAATTACTCATTTTAACAGTTAACCGCGCGTTCTTATTTTATATATGTGATAAATAGAATAGCATACTTGTGTAGATTCAATACTAATTTTATTGAACTCGATGAGTAAATCAACATCATGCTCACCAAAGGCTCGCATAATATAATTCTATTCAGCTCGTTTAATGATTCGGTATTAAACCTTCACTCATTCAATATCCTCTATATCACTTTAGTGTTTGAAATTATTTTTTGTCCAATAGGATCGCAGTATTTCAAATGAATCGTAACATATTTACTTTGGTAAATCGGCAAACTGCTAATCAGTCTAGTAAATCGAAAATAATTTAAAACACTAAGCCGGTTAAAACTTATTAGCCTGACCAATTTATTTTTGTAAATACGTACTAATAAACTTTAACCTATACTTAAAGTTATTACAAAGTAAACGTATTTTATTTAAAATACATAAAACAAAAAAAAACAAACATAAACAAACAAACATTTTATTGACTTCAAGGTCACCAGCCCATGCAAACATATACATTTCACAATATAAACATTTTATGTGAGAGGTGTTTTAAACAAATTTTTACAAAACATTAAAATTAAATCATTTCGCAGCCGTATAATGTATTATGCGTGCTGTTTTATTTTTTCACCAGCCAGGAATAGCACGCACCTGATTAGCAGGCTGTTTTTGTAAATTAAGCATCGGAAACCTAAGTAATATAGTGCGGAAATAGGAACTTTAATTACCGATCGACAAAGACTCAACACCGATTAAAATTTTACTAAATTTATTTTATTACGTTTTTGGCGAAAACATTGTCATAGCTGAGTATCATATTCAAAGATGAAACTTTGAAATGCTAATGAATATTTATTATCTTTATGTAGTCTATTTTGCGTTTTCGCTCCGATTACGGCAGCAAAAATCTGGAATTCATGCTATAAAAATGCAACAAGTTACACTGATAGCAACAACTTGAAAACGCGGCAGACTTAAAAAGCTATTTGCCCAGGTGACTGTAGCAAACTTAGAGTCTTTGAACACTTTTAAAGAGTTTTAAGTATCTTCTCGTAGTCCATTTGAAATATGTATCATTGCACACGTGCTGGACTGGTCTCCCTTCCGCCTATATACTCGCTATGACGATCGTCTGCTAGTCTCTTCCTGAAATAATACAACAAAAACGGACAGCGAAAAAACTATCTGAGGTGGGAGGGTGGGCTAAAAGCATTTTAATTATGTAAAAAGATTTAAACGTTAAGTTTTTAAACATAGCGTCAGTACAACTACCTTCTTCGTTGGCTTCCAGATTGCAAAGAAAGAATAACGATCGGTGCTGCGCTTTTCTAAGAAAAGTAGTACCTAATGTATCCCTCCGCTTCATGTATACCATATTTGTACATGTATCTGATCTTTGCGATGTGTAATGAGGTTAATAATATAGGTTATTAACCTGAATAAATTTACCCATCGACAAAAGACTCAACACCGATTAAAATTTTACTAAATTTATTTTATTAAGTTTTTGGCGAAAACATTGTCATAGCTGAGTATCATATTCAAAGATGAAAATTTGAAATGCTAATGAATATTTATTATCTTTATGTAGTATATTTTGCGTTTTCGCTCCGATTACGGCAGCAAAAAATCTGGAATTCATGCTATAAAATGCCAAAAAGGGTCTATACCGACCCTTCCGCCAAAGCGGTATAGGATGAATTCCAGCCATGACAAATGTTCGCACAAAGAAGTCGTACATATGATATAGTTTGTAACACAAAGAAAACAACATATGTGCTATGTTATGCACTTATTATGAAACAGGATATGTAGAATTTCCTAAACATTTGAATGAATATATTGGCTGACCCAATTGTATTTAGCATGGTGTCATAACCTAAAGAGCTAAGGTGCGTGCGTGTCAGAAAAAAACCTAGTGTCTTCGGATATGTTTGGATATTTAATGTAACCCCCACCTTTCTTAACAGTATAAGCTCCAAAACAACTGTTGCACCAGCCTTTTTCTAATTCGATTGGCTATTTCCCGATGATTTGCATAGTAACTCCATGTTAAACGTGGTAAAATTTGTGAATACTAGTATATCATTCTACAATTTGGCAACTTTTGTTGGATACTTTCAATGTCACCGTTAAGGTCGTAGTCGTCATAACCGTCAACAATACATTTTTTAAGTTTCCAACTGAGTTCTAGGCCGGGTCTATCTTAGCACCTTATGTCATTTCCCCCACAATGAATGGTCAGCATATCAGGCTTCGGATTAAACTGAAGATGGTAACTTATCGTTTCCTTTAAATGGTGTACCCTCATCCCGCTCATACCTAACCATGTAACCTTCACCCCTAAATTCTCCATCCCAATGTTTTGTCCGTCAGGGCGATCCGAGGCCCGATTCGATGCCCCAGTGACCCGCAACGAACCACACACCCATACATGAAATATGTTGTTATATGTGTTACCTGAAATCACACCATTGTTATAGATGAATTCCCTTGAGCTGTAAAGCTGAAGGATGAATAACTAGTAAATAATTTTGTTATTTTGGGGTCTTAACTACTGTGAGAAAACGGTTGTATCCATGTTATATCAGTATTATTAAATTTGATAATAAACTAACCGACTAAAGGGTTGCTTCCAAATTGGATAACAATGAATTGGTCTAAAATCTTGCCTATACTTTAAATATCATATCGGGAACAGAAGTAAGTAATTAATAGCTAAAAAATGCAATCATATTCCATCCAGATTTTAAAAATTGCGAAATTTACTTGGTAACGAAGCCAAAACTGCTGGACATCACTGTTATTGCAAATTAAACTTAAAACAGATCGCCGGACCATAACATGGTCATTTGGCAGATCCTTTAGACACGAACAAATAAACGAACAAACTTGGTAAACATCATGTACCAACGTATATACATAACATAAATCTTATATCTATATTTATCATTGTTTCAGTTAATGTATATAATATATATATATATACATATACGTTTTTGATAATTGTATTCAATTTAAACATTTTTATACATATGTGAATCAGTAAATAAGAATGGTGGGATAATTAAAAAAAAAATTCAAAATAAAACCCACACTGATATAACACATCATAAATCAGAATTTACAAAGCATTCGCGACAGCATGGATTAGCGGATATATGTTTTATAAGCACCTGAACGCCATCTACCTCTTATTTTGATTTCATTGATTGAACACCCGTCTTTGAACATTTTTGAGGCCCCGCCAATCCTGAAGGAATGTGACTTGAGAGTCTTTGTACCAAGACCGATAAAACTGAAAGTCTTTCTTAATACTGCATTGAACTGAAAACTGGTTAATGGGGAACCATCAAAATGACAGAACAGTGGACCCCCATAAGTTTGACGGTAATATATATATGACCTTATATGCTTTACACAGAATCTATTCTGGGGATCTATTGGAATAACGATAGAACAACCATTACACCTTTGATCAGTTTTTGAGGATTTTATTATCAACCGTAAACAAGTATCCGAGATTGTTACATCCTCGAACTGAAGCACCAGATTTTTTTATCTCTTGCCTGGGAGAGTAAACTCACTTACTCAGAGCAGCGCTATAAATGCTAATGAATATGCTGCTGCAAATAATAGTGACTCAAACTTAGACCTACAAATTAATGGTAATGCTTGAATGATTTTCTCAAGGATATCGTGTGTGACTGGGTCTCTTGTATCGTTTTTTTCTCTTAACTCGTCGCAAACCTTCGACCATTTTTCTTACGATAAATTGTTTTGTATTGTAAACAGAACCACTTATTTTGTTGATATAACTAATAGCCGATAAGTGAATATTCACATGTGAGTACGAAAATTGTCTTAAAGACATGAATGCTACATATTGACATATTACGTCAACGTTTGGTGGCCAAATGTGTTTTAAACCAAGATTTATGCAAAAAGCTTCAATTGCCGATACGGCTGAATGGTAAGACTTGTGAGTGCTGTCTGCCAAAGATGCATATATAAGCCTATCTACTTCACGTTCAAGCGCAATGTCTGAAGGAAAGAGTCCGGGATCAAGCATGGCGTCCTTGACGCGGAGTCCGGCAGAAGTCTGTGAAGTCTTTGCCACTGAAAACGACTAATAGAGTCACAAATTTTGTTACGTTTACCATGAACGTGCTTTGCTTTTACTTGAATATTTCTCTTGAGAGAACGTATGAGTACCATGACATTCTTGTTCCTTGATGATTTTTTATTCAGAATATCAACAAGGGCAGCGTTATCAGTCCTTAATATTATCTTTTTCCTTTCTAGCAACCGACCCCAGATATGTAACGCTAGAAGGATTGGAATAAGTTCTAAATATGTAATGTCTTTAAATATGTTTTCCTCCCAGGTTTGGGGCCATTTAAATACAGACCATGAGCCATTGAAATAACAACCGCATCCCATATTTTTGTTTCCAGCAGCGTCCGTATATAACTCAAGAACGCCATTTTCAAACCATTCGGACTCATTAAATATTCGTGTACCGTTAAACTCTTCAAGAAATTGTAACCAAGTATAAGCGTCGTCTCTCATATCCTTAGAGACCCTAACAAAGTGAAATGATTTTTTCACTTTCGACATTCTATCATAGAACCTGCGAATAAATGCTCTCCCAGACGGTAACGCTTTAGCTAAAAAGTTTAACAAACCGGTAAGCGCTTGCAGCTGTTGCAGCGTAACCTTTTTACTTTCAATCAAAGATAATGATGCCAATTTTGCTTTATCAATTTTTTCCTGCGGTACGCGTATCATTTGTTCGCACGCGTCAATCTCCAGACCCAAATACGTAATAATTTTTACTGGACCCTCCCATTTGTCTTTGCTTAATGGAACATTAAGGCGTGCACATACTTCTAAAAAATTTAACATGAGAAACTGACAGTTATCGAACGAATTATGCATTATAATGAAATCATCTAAAAGATGATCATAATAATCAGACTTTGCTTCTTTTTTGGCCAACCACTCAATAAAAGTTGAAAATTTTTCGAAAATGAAACAGGAACAAGACGCTCCCATTGGTAATGTTTTTTGTATCCAATACCCTTCATCTGATTTAATGCCTAGCAAATCAAAATCACCTGGCCAAATTGGGCACAAATTAAATGCTGACGAAATATCGGCTTTCGCCATAAATGCACATTTTCCAAGTTTTTGAACCATATTTACAGCATTATCAAACGAAGAATATGTTCACCTGCTTATAATCTGAGTCAATGTAATCATTCACGCTGATACCAGCCGGAAATGACAAATTTGTAATCAGACGAAATCCACACCGGTCCGCTTTGGAGACGAGACCAACAGGATTTATCCTAAGATTAGGTAAAGGAGGTAACGTAAATGGACCAGTGATTCTACCAAGTTTGCGATATTCGTTGAAGTTTAAGTTTTAGCATCGTCTGATCATGTTTAACTGAAGTTAAGTTTGTTGAGAATATAGGAATCCTGGACCTGTATAATACAATTTAAAAACCATATTGAAAACATTTAGAAGAAAAACGAGCATCAGACTGATTAGGAATTTTGCAAGTTCGTGCTTTAAATTATTAACGTTGATTGGGGTTTTTGCCTAGGTCCCATAAACCTTCCAGGGCCTTGGTTTCCCGGTATAATGTGTCTTGGGTGATAACTGGCTCCTGAAATGAACACCAGATATGGGTGTCCTGACTGGACGATTAGGGCCACCCGAAAAAATTAACAGGGTTATGGAACCTTTGCAACGGAAAACGCGCTGCTTTGCAACGGTAAACCGCTGAATGCTGACGGCACGTTAATCAATGGCGTGCATGCCTTGACACCTTAAGCAGGTATGACAGTTTATTGACATTTAGGTATTGTGCAAGTTCCAAAATTATTGTACTGAAAACACTTTTTTGCATTTACATTATTGTCGTTACTACTATATTGTAGCGGTTTCATGGATAGGAGCCAAAGCTCCGGGTCTATGGAATGCCAGCCAATACCAACATGTATATATTTCTTTAAACGAAATTGTCTGTCATAGTTTGCCCAATCCGTCGTGTCTTGTTGCAGCAAGCCTTATATTGGCTAAATACTGGTCAAAAGGTTATGTATTTCATTAGGAATTTCTGTATGTATATGTAAATAAAAATAACAAATGCATCCGACCAAGATTCGATCTTTTCTAGTGTCTTATCGGAGTGTTTACTTTTCTCCGAGATGATTATTTCACCATTGACTACATGTAATTTCTGTTCTGATTTAATATTATTTTGCAGCAGGTCCATGCAGCTCAATGAATTGATTATTCCATATTTTTCCTTTTATACTTTCTTAAACGTTAGCGGCTAACATATTAGTACCACAAGACTTGACAATGTTTGAAGGAAAAACAACAGTATTACCATTATCATGCTGGCCGCTGTTGGTCTTCTAATACCGATGCTTGACCATTGTTTTCCACCTCCGGTAGAACTGACTGTGATTGAGCAGCGACTATATTCGGTCTGCCAAGTGGTCTCTGAGTGTGTAACCGGGCACTTCTCACAGCCTTTACTTGTGCTGGCAATGAATTTGCTTTTCGTCTCAGTACGAAATCGATATGAAAGAAAGAAAGAAAAATAAATATAAAGCGTTCTCTGACGTCAGAATTCAAAAGTCACTGTGACGTCATTGACATTAATATTTCAGACAGTCAACCGCAAACTTTATCGATCCAAATTTTAGTAAATAAATTTAATAAAATTAACAAATTAATTTACATTAATCTTCCTTTTGTATTTTTAGATTCTGAAAAAAAAAATTACCCATTTAACATGAAAAACAGTTTGGCGCTCGGGGATCAGTCAGGCCACGTGGCGTTTTAAAATATTACAAGTTACTTTTTTATAAAAAACACATAAATAGCCAATTTAATAATATATTTCCTTTCTAAAATAGAATAGTCTAGGTTTTAATAATTTACACGCTCTTTAAAATTGACTTAAAAGCATTTTAAAAGCATTTTGATTATGTAAAAAGATTTAAACTTTAAGATTTTAAACATAGCGTCAGTACAACTACCTTCTTCGTTGGCTTCCATATTGCAAAGAAAGAATAACGATCGGTGCTGCGCTTTTCTAAGAAAAGTAGTACTTAATGTATCCCTCCGCTTCATGTTTACCATATTTGTACATGTATCTGATCTTTGCGATGTGTAATAAGGTTAATAATATAGGTTATTAACCTGAATAAATTCTATTAAAGTTGAAAAGGAAGCTTTATACCCACAGTTTCAACAATATAATATCAATTATCCGGAAGACAAGTTGGGACATTTTATCTTCATGAATTCCCGATTTCTTCTTCGTAATTTACATTTTTGATTTCATGAAAAACGGCATTCACGAATTCATAATTTCAAATTCATGATTTCACGATTTCAAAGTCAAGAATTCACGATTTTAATTTCATGCATTCAACTTCATGAATTCATGTTTTGAACCTCGATTTCAATTTTACGCATTAAAGATTCATCTTCACGAAATTGAATTCATGACGTTGAAATCGTAAATTCGTTAAGTTAATATCGTGAATTTATGAAGCTGAAATCGTGAACTCTTGAAATTGAAATCGTGAATTCATAAAGTTGAAATCGTGAATTTGTTAAGTTGAAATCGTGAATTCGTTAATTTGAAATCGTGAATTCAGGAAGCTAAAATCGTGAATTCATGAAATTACAATCGTTAATTCATGAAGCTGTAATCGTGAATTCTGTATGTTAAAATCGCGAATTATTGAGGTTGAAAAAGTGAATTCGTGAGGTTGAAGTAGTGAATTCGTGACGATGAACCCGAGAATTCAAGAAGTTAAAATATCACCATCGGTATTTCGTACAATTATGTGGCAACTACTGGTTTTAACACAACCACGTCTTTATTCATAACAAAGCGAAACTACAATTTTTTATTTAAAACGTAGTCCATAAATAAATATATGTCTTTGTTTTAAGACTAAACAACAGGCTACTGTCCACGTTGCAGTTAAGATCATTTTAACTGACTTGTAAACATCAGGTCAAATTAAGCACACAATCATCTTAAAATAAGATGTGAAAGATGATAATAATAAATTAATTTTAAGTATCTAAAGGTTAACATGACATGTTGAGGGCTCGGATTGACGAGTTAAAGGTCATAAATCATAAAAAAATAAAAGATAAAGCACTTGACGCCGTACATTCATCTAATTATAAATCCTTTTTTGCAATTTTAAATCGTTTCCCTCCCTGCTTATTTGAAGCACATCGTTTGCAATCAACAATAATATATTAAGTAACGCAACATGATATATTTTTTAACTGGAATCATTTCATCAAAAGCTAAAACGTATATTACCACCTTTCGTAACAGCAACAATTTAAACGTTTCACTCTGAACATAAATGTGTATATATTATCATAATTTCTGACAGACAAACAATTTGTTGTAAGTTACAACACAAATCTTCGTTATGATATCTTGTCGTAATGCATAAATGATATAACAACAAGTGAAAAAATTAATTATTTTTTTCTGTTTTCGTTTATACGTTATTTGAAGTTATATTTTAAACTTTCTGGTTGTTAAAAAATGAAATAACAAAAGGAATTTTAGATGTCAATGTTTAAGATACTCAACAATATCAACAAAATTCGTTTCATAATTGCCAAGTATAAATTATTTTGTAACGTTTAATATTTAGTTGTTACGTTCTTCATTTCATCCGTTGTAGCGAGTAGCTTAATACTATTAGGTTGATAAATGATAACTTTGATTTTATAGAATAAACTGATTCACATTATATTTACAGCACAGTGATGTTGCTGTACTCGTATATAAAGCCCGTTATCTGACAGATGTTCGTCTCATTTTTATGTTTTCATTGTTGACTTCGTGTGAAACTTTACAATTTAACCGATGCAATATAAAAAGTCCGGCCTTATATTTTTATCAGTAAAACTTTCTTCATTTTCGTCAACAACAGCTATGTCGGTAAAAGTGTTAGATTTTCTTAATATTTTGCAGTTAGCTTTTCACTTTATATAAAAGACATGTTTAAAAGACGAAAAAAAAAAGAGACAACAACTGACTTTAAGATTATGCTTTGTTAAAGCGTGAGTGTAATATCCGTTAAATATTCACCTTGCAATGGATATATTTCATTGTTTTCTGGAATGAAGGTGATATTTATTAAAAGTAATTTATATTCATCATTTTACACTTGTGATATATTGGGCGAATAGCATAAATGCATGAGACAATTGCAGTTGTAAGTGTAATATATGAGACTACATTTAGAATGTAACTGTTGAATCGTGTACGAGTGGACAGATATACCTTACGAACTCTCATGTATTTAGTTTAGTATATATATAAATACAATTGAACATAAGAGGGTGTGCATCAAAGAGATTCTTAAATGATTTGTAAGTGACAATTGAAAATTACACAACTTTGTTTCGTTCCTAAAATGAATGTGAATTTGTAAATAATTGCAAACATAAGATGTGAGGGTTATAATTGTAATATAAAAGCTAACGCAAAAAGCAGTGCTAAACCAATTGCACACTGCTGTTATATATACAAAGTCATACAGAAGCATTTGCTTATAAAAACATAAGATGATGCTGGCACATTTAAAAATATTAAAGCTATTGGGGCAAGAAGGCGATACAATATATAACCATATTTTCAAATGCGTACATTTGTCCTTATTGATTTACGGATCTTTCTTTTCCTTATGTCATGCTGCCATTTTAAGTTGAAATATTTGATAAATGTTCGGTTTTCATTATGTTATGTGAATGGATCACTTGCTGACAATATATTGTCAAGTAAAATTGACTGTAACGAAAACGTTTAGTTCAGTTACGCTGTGAAGGTAGAAGTACATCAACTATACCGGTTCAAATAGTCCCGCATCAATTAAAACATTGTATATTTCTGTTTTTTTACGTAAATAAATTGTGATATGTTCTCGAAAGTTCATTTAGAAAGTTAAATATGTTGGTACGTAATGTCAATTTTATCAGCATGTGGCATATTGTAAAATGGTGAATAATTACTGTGAGAAACAAAAAGAACGAAGCAAGCAAAGAGAGGTGTTAAATAAGGAAGTCAATTTTATATTTAAAAGTATTCAAGTAGCGACACACCTACACATTATTGTAGGCGTTCTAC